CGGGCCCCCAGAACTGCTGCTGCTGCTGCTGCTGCTGCTGCTGCTGCTTCTGCTGCAGCAGCGGCCACTGCTGCTGCTGCTGCTGCAGCTGAGAGCGACGCTGCATGCCCTCAGGGGGGGGGCCCAGCAGCTGAGCGAAGCCAGGAAGGGGCCTGAGCGAGCAGCAGCAACAGCAGCAGCAGCAGCAGCAACAGCAGCAGCAGCAACAGCAGCAACAGCAGCAAACCAGCAGCAGCAACAGCAGCAGCGGCAGCAGCAGGAGCAAACCAGCAGTAGCAACAGCAGCAGCAGCAAAAGGAGACACAATGTTGCATAAAATGAAACCCCAAGGTGTAGTGTGTAGGGTTTACGGTTTAGAACAAATAGTGTAGGGTTTAGGGTTTAGGGTTTAGGGTTTAGGGTTTAGGGTTTAGGGTTTAGGGTTTAGAGTCAACTATATATCTCCACCCCAACAACTTAGGGTTTAGGGTTTATGCTCTAAAGCCGAGGGTTTATTCTGTAGTGTTTCTGGTTTAGGGTTTCTGGTTTAATATTAAGGGTTTAGGGTTTAGGGTTTAGGGTTTAGGGTTTAGGGTTTACCTGTTGGTGGGGTAGTTGTCGATGAAGCTGCAGCCGGCGAGGAGGGCCCCCCACAGCTGCTGCAGGTTGCTGCAGCAGCCGGGGAGGCGGCAAGCAGCACCAGTGATAGCTACGCGTGTTTGCTGCTGCTGCTGCTGCTGCTGCTGCTGCAGCAGCTGCTGCTGCTGCTGCTGAGAACCCCAAGGCAGCAACCGTGCTGCTGCTCTTAGCCGCGCACGCCGCATGCGTGAGCTCAAAGTAAACCCTTTTGCTGCTGCAGCAGATGTTTTGTTGCTGCTGCTGCTGCTGCTGCTGCTGCTGCTGCCCGTCGGCTGCCAACTGGTGCCAGCAGCAGCAGCAGCAGCAGCAGCAAGAGCAGCAATTTCGTGTTCGTGCTGCAGCAGCAGCAGGTCAGCTAGGTCGTTGATAGATTCTGCCTGCAGCAGGTGCTGCAGCTGCAGCGGCAGCAGCAGCTCATCTTTTGCTGCTGCATGCACAGCAGCAACAGCAAGCGAGTCTAAACCCAACGCAAGCAGTGGGGCATCAGGGTGAGGAAAGGTGCCTATACACCTGAACACGAGCTGCTGCAGCTGCTGCAGCAGCCACATACGCACACGTGAGCTCTGTGTTGCTGCTGCTGTTGTTGCTGCTGCTGCTTTTGCTGCTGCTGCAGATCCTTTTGCTGCTGCTGCTGCAGCAGCAGCAATCGCAGCCGCATCCATACATAACAAAACGCAGCTTTCACCTTCCTTCTGCTGCTGTTGCTGCTCCTGCTCCGGCTGCTGCTGCTGCTGCTGCTGCTGCTGCTGCTGCAGCTGCAGCAGCATGTCTCGAGTTGCTGCTCGCCGCAGCTTTCCGCTGGTAGTTTTTTTGATGGTGTGGGGCCGCAGCAGCCACAGCTGCTGCAGCAGCAGCCCACACTCGCGCTGCACTGCAGCAGCAGCACGGACGCAGATTATCTCCCCCCATGCTGCAGCTGCAGCAAAGCAGCAGCAGCAGCAGCAGCAGCAGCAACAACAGCAGCAGCAGAGAGAGAGAGAGGAAAAAGAAAACGAAATAAGTGAGGACACAAAATATCTATACACCAGCGATAAAACCCTAAACCCTAAACCCTAAACCCTAAA